CCCACCTGCGGCCGCTCCGTCTGCACCCGGCGGAGGCAGTCGGCCCCGTAGATGACGGTGTTCTCGGGGATCACCTCGTACGTGTTGATTTTACAGCAGGCCCCGATGATGCAGCCGCTTGTCAGAATCACGTTCCTACCAACGAACGCTGCGGCACAGAGAGAGAAATCTCTGCAGGAGGCGAAAAGGGGAGACTGGACAGGCAGCCTTACTCAAATCCACGTCCAGATTTTCAAACTCCTTTCGCTGCCCGCAGTGCAATTAAACCCTGCATCCGCAAACACCAAAATCCCTGACTGCTCAGGGTCAAGAGAAGGAGACAGCCAACCCCAGCTCCTACCCACAAACAGCTGCAGCATCAACACGTCAGATTTTGTCTAGGTTGCCACCACATTCACAAGCACTAAAAACACGGCTCTGTGGCTATAACATGCTGTAGTTCAGGCCCAACTAAAGACAACACAATCTGCAAGAGCGAGTCTTTCCAAAGGCAAAGACAACGAGCCTTTACCTTTTGATTCAATTACATTGTTGTCTCCCACTTTCATTGCCTGCGAATCTAAAGGTTAACGTTAAGGAGAAGTGTAAAATTCTTAGCTGTTACCTCAGGGAGTCCCCCTTGATATCGTTTAAACCAGTATCTTACATCTTAAACAGCTTAGGATGTTTAAATGTTAACAGAGTCCACACACGCTTCCTTTTATGTGGGTCAGTGCACTAGAAAGTCCATTTCAACACACAGCAAGGATACAGCACCCGACTTCAAAAACATTATTGGTGCCAATGACCATCGGTTTTGGTTCCACCTCTTCAGTTTCCGGGGTGATATTTTCGGGATATCTGCAAGATGAAAGAAAACACTCAAACCTCGACATGAGAAAGACACTGTCCCAAGACGCTGTCCTATTTGACAGCTGAGTCTCAGTTCTGTTACAAAGGATGAAGTCACTTATATCCAATCCACGAAATCCTACAAACGGACACCACACAAAAAAGGGAAGTGCCTAGGCAAGACTGCCAGGGTTTTCAGGCTGCCAGTCCTTGCCTAGGGTCTCATATTGTAATCAGGATTAGAAGGAGTTTTTTAAGTCAACATCTTGCTTCTTAAATAGCTGTAATCACAACCTCACATTTGACAAGACTCTCAGATAAGGGATCTGTAGTAGGAGAATCTTTAACGTGAGAAATATAACCACCTCTGCGGAGCTAAAACTGCACAACTCTGCACGAGCGCAGTCAATCTCCCTCTACAGCTTTAGCATAAGACTTCTGTTGAACAATCTGCGAAACACCCATCCTGTAAAGAGCCAACCCAGGCAGAACGCTGCAGATCCCAACAGAAAGGTCTCTTGGTTTTGGGGGCCGTTGCGCACAGCAAACCCGTGGGGACGAAGGGTTGGGGGCCTGAACTGACTACGAAGATGCTGGGCGGCGGAGTAACCCCCTTGGGGAGCGCGCTTTGCCCACCCGTTGATGATGAGCGCCTGCTCCTCGATGAGGTTCCCCTCGCCGATCACGATGGGCCCCGCCTCGGCGATGATCCTGGCCTTGGGATGGATCACGGTGCGCAGCCCTGCGGAGACGGGGCCC